GCTCCAGGGCCAGAACCTGGGCGTCTCCGGCGAGGCGGGTTCCTCGGCCTTGGGCCTCCGCTTCACCTCGGGAGGGACCCGGGCCCGGCCAGGCCTCACTCTCTCCCTCAAGGGGGTTGTTACCTTGTGTGGGGCTGGGGGCGGGGCAGCGGGAAGGGGTCGGGGCAAATAAGCCCAGTGGTAGTGGTGGCGGCAGCAGCAGCAGCAGTAGAAGGAAAATCTCCGCGACGACAAGACGACTCGGTCTGAAAAGGAAGAACTCGGTCGGCGGCGAGGGGGGAGGGGAGGAAAGCCGGGCACTGGAAGGAGGAAAAGACAGAGACGGTGAAGTCTCGCGAGAAATGCAAACTCTCGCGCGAGTTTCGCTCGACTCACGTGACTCTGCGCGCCCTCTAGCCTGTCCCTGGCTGTTAGGGACGCAGAGTAGGCGGGGCCTAGGACGGATATGGCGTAGCTGGGCTGCGCCAGGCGCGGAATGTAGGTTATCTTCCTGGAGTTCCGGCTTGGAATTTATTGGAAATGCAAATTCTCAAGCCCCACCCCAGACCTCCTGAATCCAGAGACTCTCTTTTAACAAGCCCACCGGATGATAGCAATGTCTGCTGACGTCTGGGAATCACTGCTTTTCGGGAGCGGTGGTGGTGGGTTGGGGGAGGTGTTGGTGGGGGCTCTCCTTATGTTGCCCTGGCTGGTCTCCAACTCCTGGGCTCAAGCGATCCCCCCGCATCGGCGTCCCAAAATGCTAGGATTACAGGCGTGAGCCACCGCTCCCGGCCTGAGAACCACTGCTTTATATGATACAAGGCTTGGTAGCAACAGAAAGCTAATTAAATCGTGACAGAAATAACCTATTGGAGAGGAGATTGATTTCTTTAAAATCTTTTTTGTTAAAACCTACTTGATTTTAATTTAGTTGGGTTAATCTCGCCTGATAGGGAACAAAGTCCAAGTTAGTCTAGAATGGTAAACAGAGTGGTAGGAATACTGACATTTGTGTTCAAAAAGAAATGCCCCTTGTGTATGTTTGTAATAATATATACGCGTTCTGGACAGATACACAAACCTGTCCAGAGGTTTGGAATGGAAGCCAAATGTTTTATTGATTGCCTTCTTTGCTGTTT